GGGGGGTCAGGCTGGGCAGGACGGACGGTGCTGTGCCCCCGCAGAGCCCCGCGCTGCCGCCATTCTGCACAGCCCTCCTCGTCCACGGCCCCGGCCCCTGGGCAGTGCGTGGTCACGCAGTTCGGAGGCAGGGCTCACCCCTAAACATCTAGCAAAGTGAAATAGAATACTGAGTTGAACAACATCAAAATGTTACATCAAATCAAAAAAAGCCCAGGAATAAATAGTGAAAAGGATAGCACAGCAAATGTCCCGTTACTGGGTTTGACAGCACACCACCACAGCAACTTTCTTTATTGAACATGGCTTAACCAGGGATTATAAGCAGAGGTCACATTACATTTATCATGAGTCTTGCATTCCTCTGCTTTTATGAATTTTCACCATAATGTGGAAGATGCTGGGACTGAGATAATACTTAAGGAAAAGACAGTCGGTACGCAGAAATTAATGAAAGCTTTAAATCCACCAACTCCTGACACCTACTGCCCTGTGAGCAACAGGAGAGAGCAGGGCCTACGCTAATAAGCACATTTGTCAGCAGAGGATGAAGCAGGAGCTTCCAGAAGAGGCGAAAAGAAAGCAAAAGAAAAGGGAGGGTGAGAAGGGCAGGGACGACTGGAGAAGACTGGAAGTTTAGAGAGGAGGGCGGAACCCTCAGGAAACCGCGCCTGCAGGGGGAGATGGTCTGACGAGCGCAGGTTGCTCTGCCAGAGCTATCTTTGGGGTGAAGGTTTAGCTGTGAGTCTTTGCACGGCTACTGTCGTAGTACAGGTCCTGACACTGGCTATCAGGTCAGTTGGTTAGCAGAAGTAACGCTACAGCGTTATGACAACAGTCACTCGGGAGCTGGAGAAAAGTCTCCCTCGAAGCTGGACCAATACATGAGACCAGCAGTGCGGAAAAAGTGAAAACTACAACCGTCTCTCGTTCCTCCTGTGAAGAGCCGCTTCACAAGGGATAGCGGGGAACTGGGCAAATGCTGCCCTCTGAGGCCGAGTGTGCATACCCCGGCAGGGCACAGGGCCAGCCAGGCACTGGGCACCGCCCGCCCCCGCGGCTGCCCGCCTCGGGCGGCTGCTCCCCAGATGTACCCCTCAGCATGCCTTACGTTAAACTTCTTCCATTACAGGATTTCTACTTCCTAAGTCACACGATAAATAGCAAAATAATTAATAAAAATAATGCTGTACATGCAAATTGCTTTATGCTGCGATCAAGTCAGTGGTTGGCCAGACAGCGCTGCTGCAACTAAGAAAAAGGTGAGGTAGACAGAGCAGGGTCATGTGGCAGAAATGCTGCATTTCTCCCTGCTTTTCAAGCCACCTTCCACAGTTTGCAAAACAGCCATGCAAAAATGTTCTGGTCCTGGATTGGCAGCTAAGGATCAAGAGATAACATGTTTATTGAGCTCCCTTCAACAATAAGCAATTACAACAATAAGCATTTGCCATACCTACAGCTGACACAGAACCTTACCATCTACGATGTCACCTTCTGCTCTGGGGGATGGCTCTCCATTTCTGCAACCACCTGCACAGCCTTCTGTGGGCACCCCAAGGCTTTGCACAGATTTGAAGTGGAATCACTGCTGACTTGAAGGGAAGGAGGAAGAAATAAAACCCACCCTTCAACAGCAGGATTTGGGGACAATTCCATCAGTCTTTTTAGGATTTGTTGAGCTCCAGACTTGCCTATAGAGGAGCCCTTCCATGGATTGGTGTTGGCCAAGGAGCTTTAGAGATGGATTGTGCAGGATCTTACTGCTTCAGAATCCAAGTCAAGTCCTTCTTTTCCCCCATCTTTCCAGTGTTTTCTTGAGAACCACTTCACCAGCTTGCAGAGGCACAGGATTAGTGTCATCTTTGGATTTTTTTAACATGGTAGTGGAAACAGGTGCAGCAATGGCTTGGAAGCAAACCAGTTGGGGAACATGTACTAGATAGAAGGGGCACTTAGGGCCACAGGAGGAGACACTAGATGCTGCTCAGCTTTCCTGGACTGCATTGATAAACCTGGTATGAAAGAAAGACTGACACTTCTGGATAAAAAGCAAATATCTAAGTGGAAAGAGAGACATGCCCTTGGATGCTAGAGTTTTGGGGCCACTGATGTTTAGAAAATTTGTGCTCTGTTTGGCCTCAATCCCTTTATTTAATCCACCTCATTAATCCTTTTTAATTATCCACCTCATTGTTTAAATCCTCTGCTTACTGCTCAGCCTCTATGCTCTTTTGCAATTAATAAACTGCACCAAATTAAGAGCATCATGATCCAGAGCATGCTGTGAAAAACAGGAAAGATGGAGTTTCAAAGGTCATCGCTAAAGATAATTTTTCAGAATGAACTGTACTCTTGAATCTGTGCTATTTATAACACATTGCAATAGTACAGTAGCACTCGTGTACAGTTAGTGAATGACAACACACGTCAGTGTCTTGGGCTTAATGGGAGAGAAGGGAGGGAGGAGAGAGGGAAGGGAAGGAAGCAACGAGATGCAGAAATCTATGGAGAATAAATACTGGAAAGGGTAGGCTAATAATAATATTAAAAAGGAAATATTAAACATTTTTCATTATAATGCAGTAGATCTGGTTGCATGCAGGCCTGGGAGTTGTTTATTAACTGTTGTTACAATGACAGATATCATTAGGCAATATACTAGGGAAGATCATGAATTATCATAAATAATTAACACTAAGCTACATTAAGTAAACCACATGCTGCAGTGCATTACTCTTGCCTTTCTGTCTGTTTTTTCCCCACTTTCAAAGGAGAGATCTCCCTTGCCCTCACCCCAGGCCAGAGCGCAGCTGAACCACTGCAGTCCTTTTGCAAAGGTGGGCGTGAGGGAAGGAGAGAGGAAGGATTTAAAGTGCTGTGGAAGTTCCCTACCCTGTAGCAAAAGACACACGTTTGAGGGCACTAGGTGGGCAGAACTCAGTAGGACAGAAGTGTAGCTGCTGGGTATATGGGTTTGTAACTCTGTGAGTCATCTTATGCTCTCGGTAGTGGCTCACGGATCCCTAAAGGCACCGGCTGTGTGTGCTGTTCCCCCACTGATTAAGCAGCCATCTTCCAGCTCCTTTTCCCTGCTTCCACCTTCCATCTCCTCCCACCCCTGAGACTGAAAACCACTAGGCAAGGATTCTCAAAATAGGTAGATGCACGCTCCCCCATGGACTCAGGTGTTGCTAGGAAGCTAAGGGTGTGCAGCACGGTAGGAGAGCAGGGCAGACATGAGATGAAAGGCAGCAGGCGTAGCCTGGGCTGCAGGGAGCCACTGGGCTGAATTGAGATGCTTTAGCAGGGACCCCCAGAATAATAAAAAAGAGCCAGAGAGGGTGGCTGGGAGAGGGCTATTTGGCTCCGAGGTGCCCAGCAGCCTGGACTTGTTGCAGCTGCTGTCTGCTCTCTGTCCGCTGGCTGGAGCTGGCTCTGTGTTGCTCCCTCTCTCAGTGCTGGTGCCCTACCTTCTGTCAGCTGCAAGTCCTGCTCTAGTCCTGCCATTCAGCAGCCGCTTTCCCTTCCAGGACCCCACTGCCCTCCTGGGACACGTGCCTTATCAGGGAACCAGGGTTCTTTCTCCTCCTGGGACTCCCCAGGTGGTGAGACACATTACGCAAACCGGTCACAGGGGCAACATCTGACTTGCAGTCTGGCTGAGAAAGGACGGTAATTTGCAGTGTATTTTCCAGGCATTAGTGCGAGTACCAAATGAAGGCTTAATTCCAAAAGTTCTCCTGCAGCTTCTTGTCAGAGAAAATTAGCCTATGTGGCTGGAATCCAGACGTGAAAATGTATCAGCTGTTTAAAAGCATGGAAGTTCAACATGAGTGCAACAGCAATCTTTCCTTTGTCCATGCCAAGCATCCCTCCTTTCAGCTTACTAACAGTGAGCACCAATTTGTGCTCTGGAAAACACTCGGCACACACAAACGAAACAATTTCCTTAGCAGTTTGTGAGGGTTCAGTCCTGCAACCCTTGCAAAGGACAAGTTGTCCTTTCCTCTTGCTGCGAGCCCCAGGTAGGTGGGAAAGTGGTGGATTCTGACCACGGAAAACACATGAAATATGCAGGCACCCAGTATGCTATTCTTCATCACAGTGAAACTGATTTCACTGCAATACTTATATTCAGATTTGCTGCTGTCCAGAAAAACACGTTCTACCCCTAATCCTTCAAAAACAAGAACTTAAAAAAACCCAAATATTCAGAGGAATTTTCTTAAAACGTGTTTTTTCCCCAGTTTGCTATCTAGAGTTTTTTCAGAGTATTTCAGATTGGTTTTATTACTGGTTTGTAAAGGATAAAGAGCACAAACCTGAAAATATTCAACTTGAAGGTAAAGAGGGCAAAAAATCAGAAGCTCCTGGTGAAAGAGAGGTTAAAATGAACATTGCTATGCAACCATGATGGTGTCAGTTACTGTGATTCCCTTTAACACATCTAGCTTTTCTTACCTCCAAGTGAGGCTTTAAAATACAAGTATCACTTTCGCTTTTCTTTATCTATTAAGGAATTATGTTTATAAAGTATAATTGTCCTTAATTAGTTACTCAAGAAAGAGAAAATGATGCAAGGATTCCTGTTTATCCAGTCTGAAAAAGATAGTGGGATAGAATCTCTAAAGGCAAGTTAATCTCTTCAATATTAGATCAAAGCACTATGCCTGCTCAATTATTACAAAAGAACATAATGGCTGCAGTAGAAATTTACCCATCAAGACATTATTTTCACAAGACTGATACTTGAGAAAGGATAAAAAAAAAAATCACATAAAGGGACCATGCTTGTATGTCTGTGTATCTGTGAAGATGTTCTCCCAGAGAAACTGCAAGCATGAGCTACATTAGACAAAGTTGGGTGAGGCTAAAGCCTCTCTTTCTTTAACACCTACTCTTCTTAAATAGAGCCAAATTCTACCCTCACTCACGGCCAGTGGGGTTCCACAGAAAATGTCAGAACAGAATCAGATTTACTAAAGAGATTTTAGTGAAGGATAAAAATCCAGAGCAAACAAAGAGGTTCAATGTTTTTACTCAGATAAAACTTCTTATTAAGACAGAAATCATTAAAATCTGTCTTGAAGGTGAAAATACAGAAAGGAAAAATAAATGAGAGACGGAGCTGTACAGTAAAGGATTATGTTGAGCAAGAGCTCTGAAGACTGATGTTTGCCAGCGTGAGTGGGTTGAGCTGGGTGAGGCTGAAGGTGTATCTTCAAAAGCATCTCAAATCTTCCAAACACCACCATTGCTTATTCACAACAGGACTTTCCCTCCAGTGGTAGATTGAAGTTAATTTCTTTACTCACACAGGAAGGCAATGGCTAGTAGGAGGGCTAAGTATCACCTCTTCCCTACTGTGCTGAGTACGTTAGAGGGCAAAAGATGAAATTAGCTTTTTTTTCCCTACCTAAAAGTCATACTTTCATTGGGGACGGTTGGAAGTAATTCAGAATATCTTATAGGGCTTTTGATATTTCAGGTAAAATGATACCTCATGAAAGGACTTCAACAATGAATAAAACAAAAGTATAATATAGAAACAAACCCACATTTGGTATTTTGGCACATCTTTTTCTCCAAGTCTTCAGCCAGCACTGATTAACATTATCTTCTGTTACTCACCTCATTAGGCAGCACCTTCATCAGTGTTTGAAGAGCCTTCTCAAAGGTTATTTGGAGAGAAAGCCTGCAGAAAATTCTACACATGCTAGAAGAAACCCTGGTATATGCTGACCATGCCCTTCTAAATATAAACTGGTTTAGAGAAATGCACTGAGGCCTCTTCATGCACTGCATTACATGGACTCCTCTCTATGACCTCCAAATGCCCTGATTTTCCCTTGCCTACCACATAATAGTCATGTAATACTATCCTTGATGGACTACATATGAATAAGAGGCTATTTTGAGGTTGTAAGTGCTTTAAATTGTAAGGTTCCCAGTACACTACTCCACAGCTGGTTTGGGAACAGAATAATTAACTCAATGTAAGATGTATGCAGTTGCCTTTATGAAAGCCCAATCTGTCCTCAGAGACCATTCTCCCCCAGGAGGAGGCAGCCCTGGAAAAAAGCAAAAGAACCAGATCATTAGTAATGAGTCTCATTAATGTGGCTGCTAAAGCTACATTGCTGTCACTTGGCAATGATGTGAACTGTGATCTTCAGAAGCCCTGAGACCTCTGTGGCCCTTTTCTGGCCAAAGAGACCCAGGTTATGCATGTGTGATACCAGCAGAGCCAAAGCTGGATCCCTGCACAGCGGCAGAGAAAAGAGAATGTATATTTATTTCACACTGCTTGTATTTATCTGTAGCACACTGTTATCAGGTAAACTCACCAGTGACAGAACAAACAAAACTAGATCGGCACCCTGGGCTTGTGCTTTCTCCAGAGGAGCTGGTATGTACAAGTGTCTCAAGTGATTCTTGGCTCTGCGGAACAGAAAGCCCCCATCCCCCTAAATATTACTTTAAGATGTCTTAAAATATTACAGGAAGACCTCAATAGTAGGGAGAACTTCCCAGGCATTTATCTTCTCTGCAGCGTTAGTGTGTATCTATCTATCTCCCCCAATACCCAGACAGTCTGGTGGCCACCGGCACTGTGTCAGTCTTGAACCACAAGCAAACCCCACCTGCTCCTCCCCACCCAGGCTGCCCCCCATGAAAACACAAACCCGGTGGGTGTTTCTCCCAGGAAGCCAGGTGATACCCCAGCACCCCCTGAGGCAAGAGGGCTGAACGCCTCCCACATCCCTGAAAGTCTGGAGGTTGTAGGAAAGTCGGAACGCGTCGAACGAGCCCTGCTGCTGCAGCAGGGCCAGCAGTTCCCAATCAGCGGTGGGTGCTGTTGTTCTTTAGACACCATCTGTTGCAACAGCTGCTGGTGGCTTTCCAACAGGCTCTTCAACCAGATTGCTCCCAGTCAACCGTTCTCCTTATCTAACCTTGAGAAGGGAGGTTGAAGATCACGGTCACTTCGGTCCTCTTCCCTAGGGCCTGCAATGGCACTCACCACTGTAAATGGAAGTGTCACTTAGGGAGAGGGAGAAACGATCACCATAGCCCTACTGCGGAGCACTGGCATGGGTGGGGTGGGGTGGTGGGAGCAGGGCAGGGGAGGAGATATCTCCTACAGCCCCCTCACCACCGGGTGTATCTACAGTGGTGCAGCATGCAGCATATCTCTCCTTCAGGACAGCCTCTCTAGTGCAGAGCAGCCCCATTGGAATCCTAACCTCTACCAGAGGCTGAGTGGTTTTCATTCAATCCCAGAGAGCCTTTCCTCTCCCTGCGTCACACTCTGCAGAGCCCGCTGCGAGGGGGGCCCGGCTCCCCCCTGGTGCAGCCGGGGTCTGCAGAGCCCTTGCTCTGCCATTCCACGAGGACCACTTGGTCGGTGTGTCCCTGCACACTGCCGGGCACCCCCACCCACCCTCTCGCCCTCTAAAACACATGGGCACCAGCGCACATTAGGCCTGTTTTCTAAAAAATCGGTCTCAGTTTAATATTTTACTCTTCCCCTTGGCTTTTCAGCACTGTTCAGTTGTGTTTGTTTTCCTAGCAGGACTCCTGTGTAATTTTTAGAAAGATTATAGACAGTGTCACCAGTCTGCCCTACTTTTGACAGTTCCGTAAAATGGATATTTTTACTGTAATGAAAAATGCACTGAAAATCACTTTCGGTAACACATCTTTACTACTTTTTTTTGTGCTGATTTTTAAAATTGTATTTCTGATCACCTCCTTGTCCAGAAGATTTTGCATGTTGCCATGATACACTGTTGAATAGAAGATTTTTATAAAAACCTTTGGAATTTTTTTTTGAGTGTCCTAATTCCACTGGACCCTGGTTTATACCGTATGACCACACATATATATCTCAATATCACCGTGTAATACGGACATTTGGAAGCCCAGAGCTATCAGACATTTAAGACCATCTGAAAACAAACAAAGAGGAAGCACAAGTCGAAACAGCAGAGAGCAATTTCTTACTCTGGTTCCTACCTGCGCCCGCAACAGTTACCTTTCCGCGCTGCCTTCTGTTTGCTTCAGACACGTTAAGGTACAGTTACATGCGCACAGGGCTTTTCCCTGTATTTTTAGATTCCGATTATGTAACTGTGCTGCTTGCATAACCACGCCAACGATAAATGTGGGATTTGTCTAAGGATCAACACAGAGCAGCTACTGTCAGCCCCTTACCGAGTGCCCCTCCCAGCCGCCCCGTGTGGCGCGCGGAGATAAGGTGGGTGTCCTGTGTGTCAGTGCGACGCACGCCCTTGCCCGCCTGGCCGGGAGAGTTAAGCCTAAAATAACGTTTGCATTCGTTGCATGAGGTCATGTCACTGAAGAACCCAGGTCTCGGGCGGCCTCACGGAAGCACACACGGCAGAAATCCCCCCAGCTGCCAGATGTCCCCTGTCTGGGGGTAGTTCCCAGGTCTGTCCCGCCCGCTGGGCCTCTCCCGGCCCCG